CTTTCTACTATAATCTAATTTGCAGCAGCTGAAGCGGCTCATTATTAACTCAGCTTATACAACGTGGCAAGGCTTGTATAGTTCTGCATGGATGAAAAAGAAACAGAAAGAGAATGAAATAAGAAAAGATATAAAAATGGTGGAATAAGTGACAAACTTTGTACCTCATAATTCACTCGATCGCATAGCTTTTGAACATTTTGTTTTCGTGCCTCTTCATCAATAAAGGGATCTGTTGAGCGACCTGTGAATTTAACCAACTTCAGTGCTGCACAGAAAAATTGCAATTTGCAAGGATGGTCTAACACCAACTTATCCAATATTCTATAGGTTTATCGTCTGTGTTGTGGTGAGCCATAATTTAGCGAAATTCGTGAGACGAGCAAAGGTACGGTATAATTTCTGAAAGGTGAAGGTAAGCATTCGAACTGGGAATTAGAAAAATTTAAAATACGAGAGATACCGATATAAATGCTTTAATTTATTTGCGAAGAGAACAAGAGCTATATTTCAACTAGAAACATTTAACTAACTTGAACAGCATAAGAAAAAATATATGACCAGATTTCTCGTTTTCAGATTCCATTCGCAACATTGGTACCTTGACTAAGCGAAAGACCATTATTGCCCAAAAATGGCTCAGAAAAAAATGTCGAAAAAAAGCGTATGATAAATCAAATGCAAGAAGCTAAACGGCTATGTTATGACGTTCACACGACCTTGTGCTATATGCAAATGCGAAATGTACGCGAGTTGGCATCTATTGATTGTGGAGGCTCTCTCGCCAAGGGAGGAGGTCTACTAGGTGCAGCCAAAAGAGGAATCGCCCCAAGCAAAAGAGAGAACACACTTCCCACTGCACTCCCGAAAGCATCGCGCTAAACTGAACGCTACAGCTGAGATTACGTCATCGAGAAAATCCATCTTTCTTCCCGATTTTGTCTTGTGAACTCAGAGAAAGGCGAGAAAATGATGCAATGCAGCCGTGTGAGCTCATTAGTCGCCTTCAATATACAGGTGATAGTAGAACATGAACAAATTCTGACATTAGATAGCTAGATGAGGTAGTGAGAAGCACTTAAAAGAAAGAATTCATTTTTTATTTGAATGATTACATTGGTTGGGTGATCATTCTGTGGAAATACTTGTCAAAAGGATTTTGTCCGCAAACTTTAAGTGTTTTTTCCTTGGACTAAGAACATCGCAAGACGAACACATTGTTTGGGCGTTTTTGAAAACGCTTTTGGAGTTTTTTGTAACTTCTAATGAATTGTCTTGACAGAAGTAGTCAGAGCTACGTAGCAAACAGATTTGTCATGCTGATGGGGCACCGTGCATTTATTTAGTGACGCAAAAGTTCATATCCTTTTAAACTGTGGACATTCAAGATTAGTCAATGGCCGGAACAATTAGTGTATAGGTCATGCAGCTTAATCCTAGCTAAGCACAAATTAGGAGCGCCGTACCGCTCCAAAACTTGTTTGGGCCCCTTAAGAGTTTTGAAACATAAAGGAAACATGAATACAATGAATACCTTTATCAGTGCTCGTCTGAACCTCATTGATTTTT